ATACCTCCTCCCGTAGCTGTAGGAGAGCCAAACAGATGGCTGCTGCAGGAGGGCTCACGCGTGCTATGAGCTGCAGCATTCCTTCAGGTTCTCAAGTAAAGTGGACGTGGCTTGCTCCTTGTCAAAAGTCCCACTAAATTAAACAGCTGCATTTCCACCTCTGCATCTGCGCTTTGCTCCATCTGGGCAACAAAGTGGAGCTTTCTTAGCATTCACCAGCCGCTTTTTTTCCCCCCTTCATTCTCTGAGTCTCAAGACGCAGTGAGGAATGTCAATGGCTTTTGTTTCTTTATGCTTACTCTGCATGTTCTCCTCTTCTCCGAAGCAAAGTGAAATGTATCTACATTTTCCTGGTCCCCCAAGGTCTTGTCAATTGGGATGCCCGAGCAAATGCAGCTGTCCAAAATAGCTGGGAGAGCAGCACTAGAGCTTCATGCTTGTTCTGATCCTAACCTGGACAAACTGGCCGTCAAAGGCAGGCCATGAGAACTGCTCTTATTTCAGCATGGGATTGATACAAGCAAAACATCAGGATATTGTGCACTAAGGGAACCAATATATTATTAATGCACACCTCAGCTGATGTCAATCAAACTTTCACATTAGTCTCAGCTGGCCCAAATACAATATGAAGGCTAACAAACTTTGTGTGGTACAATGGGAGCACAAAGAATTTGGCAGAAAAAGCTACTGGGAGACAAAACATGAAGAAGGCAGGACAGCTACAGAAAATGAACATTTTCTCTATACAGACTCTGCAAAAAAGCTCAAAACAAATTCTCTGGTAGCGCAGATGTGGTATTTCCTAACAGTAGCATATTTATTGGGAGCAAGAACTCTCCAAATCTAACCAAGAGAAAATATGAAATGAAATCTTATAAAGAGAATTTTATTTTGGTTCTTAAATCCTTTCATTGCTATATTCCTCTTCCTTTTTTCTTTCACTCAACCTATTCAGTGTTCTTTCTGCATCTCTGGCAATCACGAGAGGAACTAGGCAACTCCTCAGCAGCATGAGAGAACGCGGTGCTTAGTAAGTCAGTCTGTTCAGTGATGTGAACAGTTGGCATCTGTTGGGCACTGGGGAAGGGCAATGGCATTGAGACACCTGGACCACTTGTAGGATAGTTTCCATGGACTGGATATTTTGGAAGCCCCTTTGCTCACGAGGCCGCAAAGAGAAAGTGCCAGTTGTCCAAACAATCTGAACGCACACGTGCATTTTAGCACACTTAACCACGGCTCTACATACTCTCAACACTGCAGACCTGACAGAGCTCTTCCTTTACTCCATCAGAATGGCTTAGCTCACACGTGTATGCTCCCATTGCTCTGACAGACGACAAAGAAGAGCTAAAGACACGTATCCCAAAGGGGCAGAAATGAAATCTGCTCCGCTGTTAAGAAATCTGATATTTACACTGCAGCTAAGGGTGGAGAGCAGCATCTTTCAAGTCTTTCTTTCAGGTGTCTCCTCTTAAATTGCTACAGATTTTGGCACTGTGTTTCTTTAAATGGGTATGGAAACAATTTTTCAGGAGAAAAGGTCCAGGCTGCTTTCTGCCATAGTCTTAAGGCAACGATGAACAAAACTGTCACACTGCTCTCACTATTCAGAGCCCAAACATACAATTAATTATCTAAGCAACTCCTCATTTTCAGACATCAGCAACAGATTCCTCAAAAGTTCGATCAAAGGGGGAAGAAGAGAGAAAATCATAAAGGAAAGCAGTTTTTGGCAGACAGGGGCAGCATGGGGAATACTGTGGTAGTTTTTCTTTGAACTCCTTGCAGCCTGTGCCTATAAAGCTAATATAAAACATCTCACGATTGTAAAGGAAAAGGAAAAAAAAAAAGCAACTGAAAGGGCTAGGAGCGCAGTGGGGTAGAATTACCAAAACGAGGATTAAAATGGCCCCCAGTGAGAAGGGAAGAAATATTCAAACAAGTTAGTGCTCAGTTGGCTGAGGGCGGGGGGGGAATATCTGTTTCCCTTTGTTATACTGCACAGCAGAACCTAAACCCAGCACGACAGACCAACGTGCAAGGTTTTGTTTTTTTTCTTTTTTAAGCATAAAAGGTTGATGGGACATGGGAAACCTTTTTCAAGATGGCTATCTTGGAGTTTGGACAAAATCAGGACACTACAAGCCTCGAGTTATGCGCTCTCTCATGTATAAGTCCTTGGAAGACAGAAGGGCACAGACAGATGAGTTACATGAGGCAGGCGCCTCCTTCTCCTTTCCAGCCACTAACCTGCACTAAAAGACCATATTAAACCTTTCTCAACTACCTCCTCTCCCAACTGGCACTACAGTTGTTACAGAGATGTTATTTAAACCATGGTGTGAATCGAGGTGCACAAGAAAGCGTGGTGAGAGCTCTAAAAACTTCTCAGAGCTCTAAGCTGAAAGCTCCTTTCATTCAAGTTCTTTTGCTGCAAGTCAAAGAGGAAGACAGAGAAGGGTTCCAGGGATTAAAGCCCCTGACAAAGTCCCAATCGGTGAGCGATGATAATGTTATCTTACAGCCAGCTCATGTACAGCAGCTTTCATCTAAGGATCTCAAATAACTTGTTTCTATAAAGCAAATCTTGAAACTCCTCTGCCACGAAGCCACATGTGTATTTTACAGAAAAAGCAAACCTACTATTTGTGGAAGACACGAGACGAAAGAAAGGCATTTGTCTGCAGTGGGAACTGCAGAGGCAACAGAAGCAATTTCAGAAACACTAAGCCTCTTCCACAGAAAGGCAGCGGGCATCATTCCTGCAGACCTTTGCAATTACAGATGAAACCAACGTCCACAGCCCTCTGAACGCTCATTTTTGCCCAAGCAAAGGCCCTACTCATTCTAACTTTCCCGAACCACGAATACTGCTCCTGATGAAATCAGAAAGCAGACCTTCAAGAAATTAATTTTCTGCAGCTTGAGTACAGAAACTAGTACAATCCAACTGTAATACACATTCAAAAGCAAACAAACCCAAAAGAGCATGCTGGTTACTCACTTGTCCTGGGACTCGATATACACATAAAGGTGAGGCTCAAAGCACTTGGAAACAATGCCATGAAAAGGATTGTCAGGGACCTTTGGCTTCTTTGGCTGTAAGAAAACATTTAGAGTGGTGGTTTCAAACCTGCCCTGTAAGACCTAGAAGAAACAGTAATGCAACAGCACAGAAGGATCTAAGTTTTTAGAAATATTACAACACACAAATTTACTGTCAAATAATCAAAGGCATGTAATCAACAGTGTATACAGTGTCAGTGTGTCCAAGTCTTCTCTTGCTCTTACAGAGCTGTTAGTATTCCAAGGAATTATCTTTTCACTTGTAAAATATTCTTATCCTTAAACAGAAGACTGCTGCATGCTAACAGATTTCAGTAGAAGAATCTTAATGCAGTTTGTAAATAAAACCTTTCTGCACCCTTCGAACAGTAACAAGACTCCACTAATCACCTCTGAAATGAAATGCAGCAGTTATTTGGAGGCAACATTGAAAAACCCCTACATTTTAGAACATTAAGGATAATAACTCAAAGTTACAGACTTCATCTGGATGAATTTTATTTGGATAAACAGCGTAATTACTGGAGGAGCTGGAATTATACAGGCAAGATTACAGGACTGCTTTCACTGTGAAACACGTTTCTGGGGATGCAAAGACTTCTATTTTAAAATCACATTTAGAGCATTAGGCACATATGCCATTTGGGAGTCATCCAGTTTACTCTCATTTTAGTTTAGTACTGCATTCTACCCAGTGGCCAAGCACATCTCACTGAAGCCACTGGGACTACTCATATGCTTACATTTGAGCATGTTTAAGTACCAGGCTGGGCAGGGCCTTTAAGCCCATTTTTGCTCTACAGCTAGCTTGGCTAGCTTGCTTTTTTTTTTTTTTTTTTTTTTTTTTTTTTTTTTTTTTTTTTTTTTTTTACTGATAGAAAATTTTTCTTGTTGCTTCCTGGCAAGCTGACAATTTTTCACTGCCTGCAAAGAGGGCTGCAGTGACTCCGGAATGGAATTCTTGCCTCTCTCCGCAAAAAGCCAGGATCAGCTCCCAGCCAATGAAGATATGAATTTTTCCAGCTGAAATTTTTTTTTTCTTTTTAGCATAAGAAAAGCAAAACAAGAGAGCCTAAAGGACACCCTCTCCTAAATGACAGAGGAGGTGGCACTAAGTCTTTTGCAGAAATAGCAGAGAATGACAAGGCAAGCATTTCTCAGAAATAATTAAGACTCAAAGACACAACGAATACTAACATATGGCTGCAAACCTAAAGCGAGCAAACGGTTTTATGGAGACCAGACCACCTCTATGAGACTGCCTTCATTAGCCTTCTCACTAAGAGCACGACTGGAGAATGTAAGTTTTTACAGCTTTGGGAGAGAGCCACTACCCAGCATTCTCCACCCCAGCCCCTTTGCCAGTGCCTGCCCATTTCTGCCGGATGCACGTGCTCATCGGAGCCAGGAGGAAAACAATAGGTGGTAATTACAGAAACCTTCCAGTCGCCAAGTCTCCAGGATGGCAGCGCCAACACAAGGTAGCAGATTCACCATGTTTACGATTTACCAGGCTGGAAGAGCCAACTCCTAACGCAGGACTGGTTTTCTGTGTGCGCTTGTGTCTTTGCATCATGCTGCTCCCAGCATGTCTGGTAGAGAGAATACTAAATCTTTTAACAGTAGCAGTGAAGCTGTATTTCTGAGTGTGCAATCCTGTCCAAAAGCTGCAGATGTTTAAGCTATTTCCTCCTTGAGTTTGATGGAAATAATAAAAGGTTACTGTTGTCACAGTAAGGAGGTCTGCAGCTGGCCCGATTTCCTTTCATTACTATCCAAAGTAAACAGATTAAATTGAACTGCTAGGATCACTAAAAGAGGTTCTTTTTTGACATGGATTTCCCCCCCAAAACTCTTGTGCTCCCTTTTACACTCTCAAGTGTTTTGAATTCTCAGGGCTAGTGTCTTGGAAGAGCTCTACCACTTAAAACTCTTCATCTTCAACTCTTCCTGTCCCTTCTCTTCTTCAGCTAGTGACAGCCGAAGATGAGACCTCCAACATGAACTCACCAGCACTAACCACCAGCTGTTGGCGCTTTGAAACTGAAATACTGGGGCTTCTGGGGCTCCCATTTGGCAGAGAGGCGCCTGCAGGGCAGCCACCCTTGCAGCAGAGCCCAGCACTGCGTTGTGAGCATTAACCCAGGGCGTACCCAGAAAGAAAGGGCAACCTCGCCCCAAACAGCATTTCAAGGCGTAGCTCAATGGATGGCTTCGTACCAGCCTCCCCACGCACAGGGAGCAGAGCAGTTCCTTCCTCAGAAGCACCTGAACTGTTTCTGACCAGGGCAATGCATTCTACTGTTGACTAAAACCAACCCTAAACAGCCTAAAAAGGCTTTGCAATTTGCTTCACCTGCCTTCTAGCGCTACTGACTTCTCCAAGGATGTCCTCTCATCCCAACACTGCACGTCAGAGCCAACTTTCTTCCAGCCACTACAGATAGTGGAGAGCAAGCTCTTCACAAAAAATACACCACGCAAGTGTCTCCCCAAGTTCCCAATCTCTGTCTTCTAGATCACTGGTAAAGTCTGGCCAATACCAACTGCCCAAGTTGTATTTTAATGGAAAGAGCAAAACTTTGCTTAATCATTCTATTTCAGGACTTCTGCTGTGGGTGAAGGGCAGTGGGCTGCCCTGCTCCTGTGAAAATCTGGAGGGGATGCACTGCACCAACCTATGCTGGTCGAGAGCTACCGCGCCACAAACTCCCCAGGGGCACAGATCTGAGTAGGTCCTAGGGCCCTGGTCATCCATCAGGATACCATCTGTAAAGGGCCTGTTTACAGGGCTGTAAACTCACCGAACAAAGAGAGCGTACCTGCCCCAAGCAACTTACAATTGAACACTTAGAAAACGTCTGTCTGGTGAGTAAAAAATATGGGGCTTAGAGGCTTTGATATTGGTGCCAATTAAAACAATTGCGTTTACTATTCACTCCTTTAATGTTTGCAGAGGGCTTTGGAAAGCCAGTGCTTTTACCAGTGGTTAGGTGTTGCCTGCTTTGCAGAGGTAATGGATGAAAAGCACTATAGAGATAAAAATCCCAGAAGTAATATATCTGGAGTGAAAATCTAAAACTGACACTTGAAAGTTCAATGAGTTGCCTTCTGACTCCAGATTTAGTTTGCTTGGCTGACAAGGCAAAATATGAATTGCAACTGCTTGTAGTGGGAGCTTCTTCTGGGATCTGAAAACCCAGCTATGCTAGTTCATCTTTCTTTGACGGAAATCCTGTAGTTACTTTTGAGCTGTTGCTGCATGGGCTAGAACAGAATCCAACTCACTCTCACGTGACGGGATTGTCTCCGCACTATTAACTGAAATAAAGATTGCTTTGGTTTCAGTGAAGTGAGCCTGAGCAAACCACGGTCGTACTGGGAGCCTGTATGCTGCACAGAGGATCAAAACTGCGCCAAATTAATTGCTGCGAAAACAAACCTTTCAAATCAACGTGATGGGAAAAGCTTAGGCACCACCAGAGATTTTGACACAGAGACTGCCTCACTGACAACTGGAGAACTTCAAAGACTTACTTTGTCCGTATCACTTTTCTCGATCACAATCTCATCTGTCTCTGTCCCAGTTTCATCCTCCAGAAACGGGTTGGTGGAGGGAAGTGGCACTTCTGGCTTTTTCTGTTAAAAAAGAGGAAACTCCTTCGAGAACAGTCTGTTTTGTCCCCTCTGGCACACAGCTGCATCCATGTTTTGCTTTACTAAGCCCTTCAAAGCACTGTACAGCAGTTTGTCTTCTCCAAGCATAGAGGTGACTGCAGAGTGCCAGGCGGTGCCTCTCCATCAAGGTTAGAGCACACTCCCTCCCTGCTGCAGGGCTAGAGTCTGGTTCCCTCTCCACCAGCACACTTCATCTTCAGCACCCTCTTAGACCCTGCTCTTCTTGCGCCCACGCTCACCCTGCTCTGCCTGAACCGTCCCTGGAAGGGGCATTTTGACTAGCGCCAAATTCCCGCTCTCTCAAACCACACACTCCAAAGCATGTGGTCTCCACCGGGAGGACCCACGACAGCAGGCCCCAAAACTCTGCTGCTGCAGTAAATCCTGCATTACTGCTCCCACCAGACTGCTTGTCCCCGCTGTGCGCTCACCAGATAGCCATTTATAATTATGGCCTTCATTTTGTGTATAAAACAGGTGAGGTGATGACATCCAGAATGTCATAGCCTCTAGGCAGCTCAGAAAGGGGGACAGAGAGGATTTTCTTTTATTTCAGGCCACACCCTCCCCTTCTGTTTTTCTCAGCTACATCATCTTCTGTGCCTACCCCTCAAAGGGATAACAACCCAGTGAAGCCAATTTAATTAAAGCTGCAAATTTTGTATGAAATTTGTCAGAAAAATAAAGCCATATTCTTGAGAGATCTAAATTCATCCAGGAGGAAAACCTTACAGGATTTCCCTTTTTAATTAGCAGCACCTACTGATCCACAGCAAATTACAAACAGGCCCAGCAGGCCTGCCTCGTAGGCTGAATTATCACATCCAAGTAGGCTTCAAGACACCAGCTGGACAGAGAAGCCAACCTCAAACCAGTGGCTTCTCAGCCACACGTGGACTCTGCTCCCAGGGCACTTGGCTGGTAGAGCTCTTGGCTGAGATTTCAGGCAGAAAAAGCATAGAGATGACCCCAGAGATATTCACTGAGCTGTTTCTCTTGGCTCTGCCTTTACAATCCACCAAATGAGACACTGAAAAGTAGAAGCTACCAACACCCTGACTAACCCAACGGACAATGTGGGATTGAAAGATGGTACCATGCGGTGAACATGTGGTAACTAGAAATGAAGAGAAGAGGGGACTTTCAGTTATAATGTGTCATCGACATGCAGAGAACAAACATTATAATGCAGTCACCATGCCATAATTACTTTGTGGTTCTCCACAGCAACGTAACCTTAGTTGCAAGCAGCACAGGGCCCAGGAGAACCAAAAAAGTACACAATCGGTGTACTTTCCTTCTTGTGAGCCCTGTGCCATCCTCTCTATCACACTCTGCAAGATCAAGAATCACCTTCCCAATTACAACCCACTAAGCACAGTCACCCTAAACACTCTAACCTGCCAGTGCAAGAGGAGGCTGCAGGTGACACTTTTTGCAGCCTCCCATTACCGTAGCTATGTGTGAGAGGGAGCTTTTTTCTCCCGAAGCAGCTGTGGACTAAAGGGTTGCTCTTTAGAAATCCCCTTACCACTGTCCCATCAGCTAGAGTGCAACCTGAGAAGCGTTTAGCCAGAAGTCCTTCAAAGTTGGTTGTCCTCTGAATTGCAAACAAAAGCAATTTCACCTCAATCTCCTTTGCTCTTGTGCGCATTATCTTAGCAAGCTCTGTCCTGAAAGAGAGGGGGAGAAAACAGAAAAAACAAATGTGGTTTTCTATAAAGAGAAAGATTTGAAACCTAAGATTGTAATTCAGTCTATTCCCTAGAGACACTTTCATCACAAAATTCAAGCTAATTCCTAAGATGCTCTCTTACATAAAACCGCTTTATGGATCACATTTCAAACATAACCACAGTTGTTTAGAGCTTTGTGGGTAACAGGACCCCACCTCCTAACACCCAGCAACACCACTGCAGCCAGGAAAGCCCGCAGTATCAAACCTTGGGAAGTGCAGTGTCTCTGACTGGGGTCCCAGAACAAAGGCAACGGTGCTACTGGGACTCAAGCTGGCACCTTCCTCCGGTCCCCCGTCTCTGGCTGGCAAAGAGCGTGGCCCAGGTCAGCCACACCATAGTCAGCTCACATTTTTTCACTTGGCCTCTAATATTACTGACTTCTGCCTCTGTTACACTGAAAACTGATTTCCACATCACCTCACTCTCTCAACAGTACGTGCAGTTTTAGTGATACTTCTCAGGGTTTTCACTCTTCACTTGCTTTTAATCATGGACATTTCTACACAGATATTTGAAGACTGCCTTTAAAGTCCTATGGATATACGACCAATTTGGCGAAAGACAAGCCAACCTTCTGTTTTAAGGAAGGTGACTGTGCCGGGAAGCACCGTGAGCTCCCCAGACGCTCACCTCGTGACGTGGCAGAACTCCACAGCGATGCGCTCCGTCATGCACCACTCCTGGGGAAACATGCGCCCATACTTCTCCTCGTAGTCCACCAGCTGACGCTTTATCCAAGCATAGCGCCTGTCAATCTTATCCAGCCAGGCCACCTGAATAAGATGCAGAAGATCTAACATCTTTAACAGCAGCAGCTGCTAATATTCAGCCTGACTGCTTAACTGTGCTGCCGCAGTTTTGCAGAGGAGCTTGGGCTATCGATCAAAGCTAGCTTGACCACTATTAATAATACTTTGAATGCTAACAGCCATTCTTCAAAGTGCTTAAACACATGCCAGCCTGAAAACCCTATCTTGTGCGAATTAAGACAGCAAGTTCTGTTGAAAATGAGGATAACAGTACTCCTAAATCATGTAGGTACTATTGAAAACTCAATCCAATAATAATTCATTTGATCCCACCCTCTTTGTTTCGCAGACAGGGAGGTTAAAGTCAACAGCGGGATGAGAATGCAGGAATTCCTGGATTCTCACGTTCAGCTGGTTTTCACACTCTGGGGACTGTGGACCCACAAACTTCTACAAGAGTTCTTACAAGATGAGCAGGATGGGATTTTTTCCCCCCAATATTAGTGCTCTCTGGTCAAAAAGTAGAAAGATTAATCCAAAAAATGTTGATGGAAAAATGCTATTTAAAATGAAGCATTTTAGCCTTTTTCTCCTCTTTGTCACAAACTGTCAAAATTTCAAAATTGTTAAAATACATTTTGATCCAAAGTTGGTCTTGGTTTGGCTTTTTCCCAAATCCAAGATGATTATAGTAAATCTTTGAAAAGCTGTTAGCATCAGGACAGGAAGTTTAAAAATTAAGTACAAAGATTAAGCCACTTCCTGGAAATCCCTCCGCCCCCTTTTTAGGCATTTTGGGGTTTTTTTGCTTGTTTGGGGGGAGGCAGTGTTGTTTTTCAAAGTTTTTGGGTTTGCAATTTTCACAGTTTGAATTTTCAGCCCTTTACAGGGCAGAAAGTATATCTAACTTGAATTTATTTATTTACTATACGAGGGGAAAACATTTCCAGTGCTGATACATGAAACTGAGGTCTAAGGTGGGAGGAAGTCATCCCGGCAGAGATGACATTGACTCCCAACTCATCAGCCAGTCCGTATCACACCCGCAAGTCACTGCTTCCGAGCCCTCGGGTTAAAAACGCTTCACCACAGGAACCTGTGGAAACGTGAACTTTTTGGAAGAACAAAATGCAAAATGCAAATGTAGCTTGCTAAGCTTCCCTTACATCTTGGTTCTCCTGGAAAAGGACCAGATACTCTGAGAGGTGTTGTTTAATAAATTTCTTGATGATCTCCTGTTTGATTCTGGGATCCAGGACATTGGCGACTAGACATGCATCACGTAGGACATTGCTGGGTCCACCAGGCCTCTATCAAAACAAACAGGAACAAATGATTTAAGGTTAAATAGCTGAATGGGTGATTGTAAGTTGTACTGCATCCGGGCTATCTTGTTTTTATCCTTTCCCATTATTCTTCTCTTTTTGGTGCTTCTGCTGCTACTCTTCCTTATCACTTAGGCATCTTTCTTCTGTTGGATGAAAACTGAGCTCCTTTCATTTCACTGGCTGTAAAGTTGTTCTGTAGCTCAACAGCCAGGAAGCTCCCTACCACAGAAGAGCAGCCAGCTCCATCTACAGAAAGAACCGTTGTCCCATCACTTCTGCAAAGTCTTGCATCGTCCTAGATGTTCTGAGGAACAGCTAAGAGAAGCGGCTGACAAGTGGGAAGAGCAAAACTGCAAAGGCCAAATTAATGGGGGAATTAATGGGCCATTTCTGCAAAACTGAAGGCCAAATTAATGGGGGAAAAAGCAGTCTAGAGATGATCAACTTGCAACACTTAAAGCAGCATCTGCTGGTCTGTATTGGTACACCATGATGTTAGTGGAAGAGATAGAAAATTTAGCAGCATTTAAAAAAAATACGCTGTTTTGAAGCTATGTCACATGGACGGAGATTTGCCCTTCATCAAGGATCTGTCCAAATAGTTTTCTCTTTTCTATACTTGCTAGTTTTATGAAGAAACCAGCAGAGATGGTATTCTGGAAGACAGAACTAGTGTTTTCTTTGAAATAAATTCAAATTGACACCTACGCCCCCGTATTGTTTGCAAACATTTGGATGCATAATTTTGGGGCAGCACATTTGGTGCCTTAGCCCTAGCCCAGATTTGTATCTGCGCTGTCTGAGTAAACCAGAGACAAACTTGGTGGCAGCATGTCAACAGCCAGCCTGTGCTTGGCTTTTCCTAAACACAACATGAACCTTTTGTGTCCAGCAAATAACCAGTAACCTGGATGAGATGCCGAGGGAATCCCGCTCTGGTCTACAGGGCCACACGTGAATTGCTTCGGGCATTCCTCGACGGGCTTGCAGACCTCACTGCAATAGGTGTGCGCGACATGACAGAGGAAGGGTGTTATTTCTCTCCCACGTTCACTTGATAGAAACAGTGAGAAATACACCTAGCACCCTACAGCTTGGGAGACTCGTTTGCTTTCTAAAATAACTCCTGAAACAGAGAGAGATCAAATCTAGAAGTAAAATGAGATAAAAACCAACGGCAACTATGTCAGATAGTTTTCAGCAACACTTTTCAATGGGAGGAAGAGGGGAAGTGAGAACTTTACCTTTGTACCTTGAGAAGGAAAGGCTTCCTCGAAGTCAGCCAGGATCTGCTGTCCCAACTCATTCTGTGCTGCCTTCACCCTGACGAGGACAGAGGAACCAAGGGCTTTGTTGGTGGTACAACTTCTTTGTTTCGTTGTCTGCAAACATTACTACAAAGTGGACTGAAACGCTAACAGCTACACAAAAGTTTTCAAGGGGCAAAAAAAGCATGCTAGAGAAAAACATCCACATTAAGAAGGCCTGTATGTCAAAACTGGGAGAGCATTTGCTCCCCGAATGACGCCGGGATGACAACTCCAGCTCTACAGCATTGACCCCCGAGCTGTAGCAGAACACGTCCTAGATGCTCTTGCTCTGCGGCAATTTAGTATTTTAACACGGGCCAGTTAATCAGCTGAGAAATCAGCAGGGTTCCTTTAATGCCAGTGTGATCAATCTATCTCTACATTTGTGTACGTTGATCACACTGCAACAAAAGTGTGTTTCTAACACATAAAAAGCTTCACAATGTCTCAATCTTCATCGTGAACCTTTCACAGTTCCAGGTGCACTGACCTACTTTTAAACACATCCATGTGAATACTGTTGGCTGCAGTTTTATCCTATAAATCCTCCATGCCTTAAGCAGCATAAAAGAGCAAAGGTATGAAATGGGTGAAAAAGTTTTGAACAAACCACAATCTTGCTCTTTATTTAGCTGAGAGAATAAAGCTTCCAATTTCCAGAAATAAAAGTCAATATGGCTTAATTGATACTTCTAGGGAAATGGAAATGCCTACACATACTAGAAAGAGCCAAAACAAACAGTTAGGCACTTATATCCCTCTGCAGCCCTTGAATTCTTCCATCACTTTTTATTATACTGGAAATGCTTTAAGGTCTAAAATGATCATTCAAAGCAGCGGATTTTTCCACCGAGATTGATACGTTAGAAAGAGTGGCTACATTTATTTTTGTGAAAATGTTTGTTCAGACTGTGCGGAGAAGAATTTGGATTTTTTTTTTTTTTAAAGACTCCTCAACCTTATCAAGGAATGATCTGCTTCTTTAATCTTCCCATTTGAGGTCCATTAGTAGCAAAACACTACAACGTGACCTGACAGTGCTGGAGAATAGGCTGGATTCTTTAATGGTGCCAAATGCAGAAAATTCTAGTTCTTTAAAAGTGACAGCTGAAATATAACTTTATATCTGTGATTTAACTGTATGTATGACCTGCCTTATCCAGGACTTATTTATGGGGATTTTGCTGGAAAAGCTTCCTGTCTGCAATGTCAAACTTAATTCTCCCTTAAGCTCTCTGCTTCACAGGAATGTTTAGAAACTCCTCTACCCTTCCAGGTATAATAGATCCCCAGTTAACACCTTCATAACTGTAAAACAAAAGGGATTCACTAATATGTTGAAATAGAAGGAGTGGGAAATTTAATTAATCAGACATTTAAGGAATAAGGAGGAACTCAGCCCAGCAGCCACAACTACAGGTATAATCCTGCTTAAATTGCACAAGTAAGCACTAGTAGTTCATGTGAGAAAGCATCACAGAACCAAACCCTTTGATCCTTAAGAAAAAAAAAATTAAAAAAGAAGAAAAAAGACACTAAACATGAGCTGAAAATTTGTATCTTTTAAATAATAAAGAAACAAGAAGTCTTTAGTATTAGGAGTCACAGAAATGAATGAGTTTGTATAAACAACTGGAAGTATTAGCTGTGGTACTTCTTTACTTACGACCAGCTACAGGGACCTTCCCATTTGAAAACAGCAGCAGTGCAAGCACAGCGAAGGCACTGAAAAGAGGAGCAGCCAGATTCCTAAAGACTCAACAAATTTAAAAGAAGCACTGTCAAGCAGTTAAAAGCCCTGTCCACGGGCTTTGTTGTTTTAGGCTCCGATTCAGAAAAGTACTTAAGGATAGTCTTAACAGGGATTCTCATATCCTTAAATTAAGAAACTTGCAGGATTTTTTTTAAAGTGGATGTTAAAAATACATTTTTTTTTTTAAATCTGTCCTGCTTAAAAAAAATCTCTCAAAAGCAAACAGGGAAAATGAGGTTTAGCCTTTTTTTTTTTTCCCTTCATATTTTGTAAGATAGGGATAGGGCAGAGACATCAAAGTAGCCAAAGGTTTAGGTATGTGCGAGCAATGACAAGGAGCCTCACTGCCCCCCCGGTAACTACCACTCTTGACGTAAGCACACACACACAGACACGCACAATTATTTTTTTCCACAAGCATGCACCCAGAAACATGAAAACCTTTACGCCATCTCTTTACAGAGCGATTGCTTTAGGCAGAGAACACAAGAAGGCACTTGCTTTAGCCACAAGAGATTACTGCTCCCCATGGAAACCTGTGAGCCTTTCAATAATTCAGGATAATCTTCACGCAATGGAAACTGCGGCGGTAAAAGCCTCGACCCCACGGCTGGCTTCACTCGCATTCACCGCTGAAGGACCATTTCTGCACGTGTGTGAGCGTGTGTGTTTAACCACTTGCAGAAAGTGAATTACCCACTAAGGCTCGGCAACCCCAGGCACTCTCACCTGATAACAGATTTAGGATCTCTTCTCAGGTCGGTTGGATAAGGATATCTTTCCCTGACTAGATTCCCCCCGGCAGCGTGCTGGGGTATCGCAGCAGCCGTCCCGCCTTGCCGCAGCAGGGAATTGCCTTTTCCTGGGGTTGCTCGCATGTGCCAAAACCTTTGGTTACCCGAGTATTAGTGATTTTTGTTTCTCTGACTTTTGTTTTATTATTAGTGGCTTTTGTTCCTTGTTTCTCCCGCCTTTAAAAAAACAAAGCCAAGAAAACCCACTGTTATGTTTCAAATGACATTAAATTACAAGAAACCACAATTCCTTTAGCCAAAGCTACCAGAAATCTTAAACTACGCCTGGCAGCTTGCTGAGATAAAAAGAGGCTGAGCTAGCCTGTTTTTCTGCGGCAAACTTATAATCAGCTTTCTCCTAAATACTTTCCAGGCTTTTTTCCACTACCTGCTAGGCTTTTTCGACCACTTTCATGGGTGGGTTTGTGACCGCTAATTGTACGCTCCCTCCACAGACAGAAAACAGAAGAGGATTGAGAGATAACAAAATATTCCTATTTACTACAACAAACAACTTCCAGTGCACCATATAAGAAGTTGTTTTAGGAACACAATTAGGAAAATATTTACATTTGGATGTGAGCTGTGACATTTTTACATCAACACTCCACAGGACCAGCACAAGAAGCCAACTAATTGAGAGTTCAGTCCAGGTTTCCAATGAATACTTAGAGTGGGATTTTGTTTGGTTATTTTCAAAGGGACAGAACAGGTGGAAAGCAACATTAAAAACACATCATTAGTTTTCACAGCATCTAGGAGCAGGACCCTAAATCGAACACCTCATGACAAAGAGCACATCCAACAACACCAAGCAGGCACTTTTCCCTCCCGTGGTTTCCCATCCGTATTTGGCTTCACTCCATTCACGCTAAGAAAGAAAGGCTCTTTATTAAAGACAGCGACGGAATCTGTTTGTTTAGCAGTGTATATAATAGACTTATTGTATATAATAGACTTCGGTTACTGTCACAGGTCTGTGCCAACATCTACTAAAGCATTTCTTGCCTTTGCAAACATCCAAGAGGCTTCACTTGTACCATTAAACCAAATTCATGAGATATCAAACCCCAGCAATTTCACAGCCTAAAAATAGCACTGCGAGAAGCCAGGCAAACTTCCTTTGACGTTTCATGAATCACGAAAGTATTTCCAAGGAGAGAGAGAGAAAAGTCAGCTCCAAATTGGGCCCTAATACATACACGTGTAGTCAAACTCCAAAGCAGATATTACTGTGCCGTAGACCTCCCTGCAGTAATTTGCTGCCTGGATGTCAAAGCAGTAAAGAGATCCCAGCAACACCCTGGGTGCAGCTCTCCTTTCGCCCCACAAACAGCCACTTCTATCGCTACCAGATGGTGCAACTCTCCCTGTGTAAACACTCGAAGGAAAACCCTGCCGAGGCAATTCTAAAAATAGGAGGAACAGACTTTCTTGAGCTTTTCAGATCCTTATCTTGAAGGGTGACTAAAACAAAGTAAGTTTTCCTCCATGTCCTTGCCAGTCTCTCTGGCGTGACTCAAAACCACTGTGCCTTTTAGCAGCAGCATGAATTGTTTTCTATAATTATCAGCAACTACAAAAGTATTACATAATAATCCATCAGAAAGGGAAAACCAGCCAGATTTCTGGACCAAGGCTCAAATTATATTTAGCCTTAAAATGGCCAACGATAGCAGGTTTCTGCCCAAGGGCATTACCACTCTGGAAGAAAATGAAGCAAGCTATCCTATCTTTCTGAGCACGAGGTTGGAATAGACAACAGCCTCAATTCAGAAAAGCAATGACATATGTTTATATTTCCTTGATGTTCATGTTCATTTACGCAAATGCTTATGGTCAAATGCTTTGTTAAAACAAGGCCCCATCTCTCTCTCTGGATTTAGGGTGGATTTTTCTTTTGCTCTGTCTCATGGATTCCATCTGGGTTTTCTGGAAGAGGTATCTATACAGTAATACAGTAAAGAACGTCCAACAGATTTACATGAAAATATTACAAACAAACCATTCAAACGCTGTTTCCATCACTAAACAGCACTGGCAGCCAGCTGCTGTCTTAGCAAAGGGAGTCACCAAAAAAATTAATGTGCCTGGAAGGCTCCTTCAAGTACCTCTGTAACGAGCAAAGTCATCTCAGGCATCAAGAGGATGGTGGTGATAGATTTGCAATTTTCACGCTGAAAAGAAATGCTATCAGGTGTGGTTGTACCATTAAGAAGGTTCATCCCTAACATTATTAGGCTGTTTTCACCTCTGAGCTGTGCTCAGCACTACTACAGGCTGTTAAGCAAACGTCATGTGTGTGATGTAAGAGAAATAAAGCCTGCCGTAAAGCAGGAAGAGTAGGTTTTGGCCAGGGCCAGCAATGGCCCCTAGAACAGGGAAGGCCTTGTTCCCTTGACACCCAGCTGCCACGTCCCAAATGAAGCCAAGACCCTAGGAGATCTGGTGGCTTAGTCCCCACTGGGCCTTCACCTGCTACTGCTGAGAACGGTGGGCACTTGCTGTTGGAGCTGCACCAAAACTCACCAAATTTAAATGTGTAACACCAAGTTAGAAAATCAAGACTATACAAGCTCAGCAAAAATGTTTAGAGCAGTCAGGTGTTCTGCATGCAATTTTGGGAAGATTTGCTGTAAGCCTCAAATCTCAGCAGAATTGGGCAACGGGAGCAGGTTTTGGCGTAAGAAACTCAAGGCGTCCAGAACAACTGAGTTTGGCAAATGCACAAAAAGAAATCCTGCCTGCCTAAACCCTTGGGCAACTATGTAGTTTGACAGCAATTCGACAGCAGTAAGGCACATGTCTGGGCAGAAAGGGGCCCGAAGCACCACTATGCTAATGCATATATTTCTGCTTCATGCCAGGCTGCTGGACTGTATCACTGAGGTTAAGAAAGCAGGAGAAAGCATCACCTCAGGGCTCACCACAAACACCTCCACATGAAGATCACATAAAACAATTTGCACTTCCACAGATTACTCAGGTAAGGTAAATTAAAAGCCAGTGAATGAGAAGCGCAGATCATTCATGAATTACATCCGTACTGATTACTGTTATTTAACAGAATAGGCTGCTCAAGATTTGAGCAAACTGTGTCCAATTTTAACCTGTTTGTTTTGGCTGGAAAGAAGCTCAAAAGACCATCTCCAGCCTTTACATCCTTGACAAACTGGTTCTGCCTAATGCATTTTCTAACCTTCCTTCCCAGCAGGCATGCAAGCGCTCAGGGTTTGATCATTTTACCTTTCAGAAAGCTGTCGAATCTGAGGGATCCCCATGTATTTGTTGAAGTGCTCTAACACATTCACGACACCTTGGAGAAGGTTGGCAACTTCCCCATATTGTCTCCTCCTGGTCATAGCCCTGTAGAGGAAATTAAAGATTTACAAAGGCGGGTTCGATGAAAATCCTGGGTGGTAATTCCACAGGTCACCTCATCCCCACTGGGTCATGCCGGTCCCTATTGACATTTATTTTTCTAAAATACACAACTCTTCATTAACATTCCAATGCAGCATTAAAATTTCACTTAACTGATGCTAAAATAAACCAATCTGGCACACATCTAACAACGCTTCAAAAAACATAAATGTCAAAAGCAACACTTGGCAAAGAACATGTAAACTACTGAACGCATCCGCTTCCCAGTATGGTCCGGAGGCAGTAGATGTTATTTCACTATGATGACCTGAGTTAAGCCGTTCATCATCACACACAAAGTGTGAGCTAAAGCTTCACAGGGAGGAGAATCATTATGCTGAAAAGCTGTTAGCCTTGACTTTTCTGTTAATAACTTTCACAAGGAACTGACAGAAAAAAACCCAAGTTTGTTTATTTTTATTTCATGCTTTAGGATCGTTCCAATGGAGACAGCAGCCTAAGTAAAATTTAATTCTGAACACTTAACAACCCAGTGTTCGTGCAGAATTTGCTACAATCCAAGAACAGGCTGTGCCTGGGTCCTGCAACTTCACAGACGCAATATGTAAAAAACTGGATTTCCCCAGCCTGTGTGCTCCTCAAGCACATTAAAAAACCCACAAAGGATTATTAGAAACATCTAACCCCACTTCATACACAGCACAAGCTGTAAGGCTGTTTTGAACTCATTCTCAGAACTAGAGTAGACCTTTCCAAAAAAGAGATCTCATTCCAGTTTAAGACATGAGACTGATAAAAATCCCCTCAAATCCCTGAAGAGCACATCCCTAATGAGGATACCTAACTGCACAGACCGTCTTACTCTCTAATGAAGCCAGACTCATTCATTATCACCAAGGATCAACACAGCAATTCAAGCGATCGATGCTGCAAACCTTTAAATACAGCGACATAGGTTGCAGGTCACTCGGAGCAGCACGGAAAGGATCGGCCAGCAAAAATCAAGACTGCAACCTATTAAGCAAACTTCCCTCCAGAAAAACAAGCAGCTGTTAAGAGACCTACGCAGAGCACTGCACCAAACTTAAGAACTCAGCAGTGGCATCAAAGTACCACTAAAAATTTACATACTTACTCCAGTGAATCCACACCCCCTGCCAGCATGTGCAGGTGATTGAGGGTGGTGATGGAGGTGGTCAGATGACGCTTGGCATGATCTAGCTGCTTGATATCCCGTGTGATTTCTTTAACCTAGTGAATGAAAAAACAAGAGTCTGGTTAAATATCAAGCCACAGCAACAAAATTTTAAGGAGATAAGAAGGGCTTTGTCCTCCCTTCGGGACTACAAGCACGTTGGCTCTACAGCCATGTTAACACAAGGACAAGGGTACAGGTTCAACACATGCTTGACAGCAAATTACCAACCAGTCAGCAGGACCAAAACCAAAAATGTTCCCTTCTTGATGAGAACTGGAAGCAAAAGTCAGTGTTCCCCTCCCTTTCAAACGCTAGAAAGAAACTGCTGCTCACCATTTGTTCAGATTTTTCAGCCTTGTCTTTAATATCCTTAATTTTACCAAAGAGCTGTTGAATGGCTTTCTGGGCTTCTTCCAGGGCCTGGAAAAGAAACAAGGTCAGAGTGGAAAGAAAACCTGCATTCAGTTTTCACCTCCTAAGAAACACAGAGTTGCTCCCTACAGCCCCTGGGCTGGAGCAGGGGAGGGGAGCTGTTTTCTTACAAAGAAAATATCGTCAGCACATCAAAAGTCAATGTACCATGTTGGGATATTTAACCTGAGTGGACCAGGGTTTCAGTATCCATTTTACAATAATGCTTTGGCAAAATCTGATTGAGATATTCTATGAAAGCACCTCTGTAATAAGAAGTATGCATAGGTTTAAGGTTACCGCAATAAATTTTGACGCACTAAGTGTGGAAAAATATGTAGAACTTACTCCTGATCAATATGTATTTAGAGCAGGAAAATGAAACCTCCACAAAATCTCTAGCTCATCATTAATTCTAAATTAAAAATACACAACATTACGTATAGAATACTGAGTGCTTGCCTAAACCCCACGCTGAATTTGCAGGATATTATCCTGTTGGAAAACATGATGTGTATTTTGCTGATTCCTTTGTGGTGGGCAGCTCAGCTTCCCACTCACCTGCAGGAGGAATGGCTCTTTCTAGGCACAGAAGAGAGGGCACAGGTTTAGCAGGTAAAGAGGGTCAAGCATGGGAAACGGACCTCGCCTGGATTTTTGTGCTATCTTACTGCAAGCTTCTTGGGGCATCTGGTCCCCTTTATACAACCACGGTGCACCCTGACCTCACACAACCAGTGTGAACTACACGTGGATTCAATGACTGAAGCCACATGCCCAAAATCACATGTCCAAAATCCGACTTCTGAAGTAATTCAACACATTTTGCCTTCCCAGTCTGATAACATTTCCAGCTCCAGCTCCACTTCATTTCCCGCTGTTAAGTGGGCTTCTATCCCTCTGTTTTTATATCCAGTCCCATGACCAAGGTTACAGCGCAAGCTACAAGCTCCTTCAGCGAATAAATTTAACACATCTTCATTTGGAAATGTATGAGCAAACTATCTGCCAGGAGCTTTTGCTGGAACATAGCTGCATTTTAATAAAAGTATAAAAGTTGGAAAAGCTTTATAATTCACTTTCCAGAGGGGGAAAAAAAGTCTCCTCTGAAATATCTTCTGAATCATGTGAAAGTTAACACCTTATCTATTAGTGTCACACAGCTATCGTATAGCATGTTCACTAAGGGAAATGAACACACAAATGTGCTGCAGAGACAACTATATCAGAAATGAACACCACCACCTACCTTCTCATTCGGCTCCAGCCTAGCCACCTTTTAGAATAAAGTTTTCTTTTCTCTTCTCTTCCATTTAAAGGCATGTGGATTAAGTGCAAACCAAAGAACTAAAGAATGCTCCTTTCAACATATTTAACTATAGCCTCTGTACTCAGTCCCAGACCACGGCTGCAGCACATTACTCAAGTGGGCTATTAAGCAAGCAGCAACTCTCCTGCATATTCTGAGATTTGGATAGGTCTGTTAAAAAAAAAAAAGTCAACCTGAAATTTTTCACAGATGCCAATTGCTATGTTTCCCTTTGCTGCAGCACTAACGTTAAATGCTAATTTCTCTGCATGATCCTAGGGAAGTCAGAGCTGCTGAATTCTCCAGAAGAAGAGGTGAGGGTTTAGCCAGCCAACAAAAAGATTCTCCAAAAAGAGATGTTATCCTTCTTCATATCCAAAGCCAAGGCAATCTCACAAAACTTACTCAATCTTTGGATCATCTCAAACCAACTTAGGATCTCATGCATGCAGAACCACTGGGAGGCAAAGTACGGAGGATCCCTTTAAAAAGGGAAAAAAAGGAGACCTGGGGAACTACAGGCCAGTCAGTCTCACCTCTGTGCCCGGCAAGATCATGGAGCAGAGCCTCCTGGAAACTATGCTAAGGCACATAGGAAATAAGGAGGTGATTGGTGACAGCCAACATGGCTTCACTAAGGGCAAATCGTGCCTGACAAATTTTGTGGCCTTCTACGATGGGGTTACAGCGTTGGTGGATAAGGGAAGAGCAACTG